GGTCGTCAAAACTCTGAACACATCTTCCTTTTTTAGGAATCATGACTTAAGTGACGTTCTCTCAAGTCATCCAGAGTCGCGGGCAAAGCCGATTCGAAAGACCGCTGTTCGCCAGCAGCATCTTCTTTGTTTTCAAGCAGAGGGAGATCACGCGGAACCGTCACAACTCTGCCGTCATTATGATAAGCCCGCCCACCAACTCTACACGATCTGATTGGCCGGACCAGTTTTTGGTTTTTCCAGCTCAGAAGTCTATGGAGAGTTGCTAGACCACACTTTGCTGCTAAATAATTTTTGCTGCCGCTAGGGTGCGTCTAGATTTCTGGGCTGGCAGACTGATGTATCAGAGTACAAAAAAGGCTTGAGCAAGCAATCTATAATCAGAAGAGAACAGAAAGGTATTTCAGGCAGTTCTGCATATTACTGTAAGAGGAAGTACTCGTCCATAAAAACTACATCATCAATCTTCAGGTTAGGGATGTCAATTTACATAAATTCTCATAATCGAATCGATCGTTGTTAAAATGAACGATCTACCAAGTTATCTTGTTACTTAACAACCACTTGCCTAAACAAGACAAAATATGTGTCGTTTTAAAGCTTAGAAGCTTGGCTTTATAGGGAGGGAATATGACCATCACTTAGCAAGTGCTTTTAAATTTGCTGCCATATTAGAAGTGCTCAATTTTTATAGCATAAAAAATAACTGCTTTACATTCAAATGTGATCTGTAAAATCTAAGGGTGCTCCAATCATTATCGGCCGAAATGAGCTTTATATAGTTTGATCGGTGGTCGATAAAGGCCAAAACTCACAAGATTGCTTCACTACATTAACAGTTCTACCAGGTGTCTGAGAAAACATCTTTGAGGAGAGCAGAGACATTGGAACAACAGCAACCCAGCAATAACAGCAAGAAACTATAGCTGTGCAATTTTCTTTCCATCACAGCAGTGCGCTTTATTTCCTACTTTAAAGCCCAAACATAATGTCCAAATCAGCTAGATCAGTGATTGTCGTAAAATACAGTCTACTGTTGCTAAACTGCAGGATGTGCTCGATAATAAAAAAAGAGTTATTAGAACTGCATTAAGCAGCGGAAGAGATACTGTTCCCCAAGCAGCTTTCTGTGCACATGCTCCAAGGCGCAGCGGAACACGGATAAGCAAAGTGAATTTTGAACTTCATGTTCACACCTAAATGGTCAAAAACACACAGATGTCAAAATGTCCATCTTAGTGAGTATTCACGTAAACACCGTCAGTTATGTCTTAAATGAACATAAACAGTTGGGAAATAAGTGGCATGTGTATCAGTATATTGGGTCAGTGCAATTTGTCTTAAAGTGACAGCCACCTATATTTCTGCTGCCGTCTGAGTCATTAATGTTAATCAAAAAAGATTAACTTTCTTCTATTCTCTGCTCTTTAGTAGATTTAGTAGGATTAGGCTAATCTATATTTAATTTAGCCTATGCAGTGTTGTTTTAAATTTGATTACTTTCTGTTGATACTGTTTTTTTAATTTGTATTATTTATTTCACAAAGTGCCATATTTGTTAAGCTCTAAGCTGTGCCAAATCACCTCTGAGAGAGGGAATGGAATATGTTGCACATGTTGCTTGCCAATAAATAAAAAATTGTCAATTCATGATACTTTCTCATCTCTCCATTTTTTATATTTAAAAAAATACATTGTTGTTTAAAAAATAGTATTATTATTTATTTGTATATAGTATATCGGGCAATACTGCTTCCAGGTAATCAGCCCCAAAAATCCTGATCGGAGCACTACGGTGGGGACGATGTAGAGAGACAAGCAAGGACACTGTTTTACAGCTGGAGCGCGCTTGGATTGGTTTGATCGCTCAGATTGACAGGTCTTGATTTATCATGGGCCATAAAATAACAATGCACAGCTGAAACAGCACTGGAAGATACATCACTTATCATTATCAACCAGGATTTTATTACTAGTTTATTCTATACACTTTTATTGTGCCGTTTACACAAGTAAGTATAGGTCTTACGTTCAGTAAAATCACTTGTTTGGAGGGTTTTTTGGACCCTTATTTATGTTTTGAAATAAATGGCTAGCCTACCTAATCCAGGCTTGGACACATTAATACACTCACATTAATACACTTACCCCCGGTTTCACAGACAAGGCTTACAGTTTCACAGACTAGTCCCAGACTAAAATGCATGTTTGAGCTGTTTTAGCTGAAACCAGCTTGCACTGACATATCTTAAAATATGTCAGTGCCATTGTTTTGTCTCAATATGCACACCAGTAATGATTTTTTCTAAGGCATGTTTATAAATGCTACTTAAATTCCCTAATTGAACTAAGGCCTAATCCTGGCTTAATCTAAGCCCTGTCTGTGAAACCAGGCCTTAGAATATGTAACTACGGCACGCTCGCACATGTTTTGCGCATGAAGCCGCGGTCACACAGGACTTTGGGCACACAAAATTTCCACAGACACAGTGATGATTATGATATGAGATCACGTGATATGCCATCTTTTTTTTTATAAACATGAATTCAAAATATAACAAATATAGTGATATATTCAAAATGTAAAAATAATCTATAATAACCAAGGGGCAATAATAAAATATTTTAATAAAATATATCTAGAATAAAATAATCTAAACTTTACGACAAGAATATGCTTTCTTTTAATTCAGCCAAGAGGTCACGCCACGATAATCTTTTATGTTTTATTCTTTACGTGATGCAAAATCACAGTTAAGAGTTCACCAAACCTGATCTTTGGAACAGTGAAATGCAAAACTTTTCGCATCGATAAGTTTTATCGATTAGCCTGTACATTATTATTGACAATTAATCGACAGACGATGAATCATTAGCATTCTTACTTCAGGTGCTTCTGTGCTTTTCTAACCACAATAAAAACTTTGTCAGGATGGGGGAGACTGGTCAAACTATCCTGAAATAAGATCCCTGTCATTTCAAAGACATCATGCAAAGGCATAGCCAGAGGCTCAGCGCGCAGAGCACTGCAGCTGTCGCCGTCCGTCTGGCAGCAGGCAGCATTTCACAATTGATCTGGGAAAACAATAATAAATCTAGAAACCCTCTGGCTGCACAAAGAACAAAAATTAAAGCATTAAAGAAACTTGAAGTACCCTAACAATTAGGCAAGTTGTCAGATTCACTTCAAACTACGGGGGTGTCCTAAATGGCACTCCATCCTTCCCTGTAAAGGATCCAATGGGTGGGATTTTAGTTTCCCAGCTCTCCTGAGTGTCAGTAAAGAAACAGCTGCCATCGCTTGGGGTTGACAATAACAACCTGGAGCGTCTCTTCCTCTGCTTAGCACTTTGAAAGAAGCTTTATCTTGAGAAATGCAACTGTATAGAACCAAGGCTACATTTTAGGGAAAATCACATTTAGTCCATGACTGGAATGTCAGTATTTTGGAAATTTTTGGAAAATAGTCACAATCTTTAACAATCTTTAAAAATGTTTACAAAGCCGTCATCTCAAGTAAAATTATCTTCCAGCATTAACACTCTTTGTTCAAATTGAAATTACTGGTCATTTCAGTAAACTGTACTGGGGGGTTAAACCTTCAAACTACACTGCCCGGCCAAAAAGAAAGTCTCTGTTTGGATTGAAATAGGCAAATGAGTCTATGATTGGATCATTATTGTAGTGATCATTATGTTTCTAGTATGTTGTTTGACAACAATTCTTCTAACCCTGGCCTAATTGATGGAGTGTATAGCTTTTCATTTCTTAAACAACCATGTAGGAAAACACATCATTGCCATATTTCAAGATGACGATGTCAAGATGCACCAGGCTCAAATTGTGAAAGAAAGGTTGGGAGGGAGCATGAAGTAGGCTACAATTTTCACACATTAATTGGACTGGAGTCCAGAGCTTAAATTCATTGAAACTCTTTGAGATGTGCTGGAGTAGACATTACAGAGTGCTCGACCCTTGCATTGTCAATACAAGATCTTGACCAAAAATGTATGCACCTCGCTCTTAATGGAAATAAAAGTTGTGATGTTATCTCCATTAAGAGGTACATACATTTTTGGTCAAGATCTTGATCTACACACTCCATCAACTAGGGTTAGAAGAACTGTTGCCAAACATATAACATGCTAGAAACTAAATAATCACTCCAATAATGGTCTAATCATAGACTCTTTAAGCATTTGCCTATTTAAATCAAAACAGCGACTTTTATTGTGTGTCAGCAGTCTTCATTTATGACAAAATACACATGAATTAGTCATTACTTTGAGATATAATTCTTTTCAAATCCTAATTTCCATTTAAAATCCTATAACGTTACAAACGTGCTTCTGAATAACCAGCAAGCAGATAAACCGCTGGCACTTGGCAGTTAAACAACAACGTTGCTCGCACAAAACTGCCAAATGACATCTCAATTTAACCGCCAGCGGGTGGGCTTCACTGTAAAATACCAGTAAGTTACGCTCGTAAACCAAACAAGTATTTGTGAGCCCAAAACAAATTTCCCTTTGGGGACAATAAAGTATACCATACCATACCATACAAATGAAAAAAACGTACACATATTTAATATTTAGTATAGACACATAATGAATTTGTAATATTTAATGTGCGTTGAAACTACTCATAACCCGTTGTCGCAGTAAAAGCCATAAAATTATTCAACAAACTAATGCCTTTCACTTTTTGTAAATCATAAATATTCTTGTTTCCGTAAAATCTAAACAACACAACTATTAAAGTAAGACAAAACGTCATCTGAAAGGCTAAGATCTAAAGACTTATATTTTTATAGAGTGAACTTACGGTAAGTCACTTCCTGCGGCTTTGAGAATATTGAGACGTTTGACAGAGAGCAAGAGCTAACGCACTCTTGGCTCGCGCGCTGACTGTAGTGAATTCAAGCGTATTCAGGAATAAATGCTTTCCCCCATTATTTTATAAAGGTAGACGCCTCTATAAAGTCATATTATACTTACCAATAATTCCGCAAATATAGTTTTTCCTGGGATTTCGCCTCTGTCAACTCTACCACCTCAACCCTCGGACAGCTCCACCTTACACTTTCCAACTTCGGTTGCAGTCAACTGAGTGTACTAGACATCTCAGCAACACAGCCAGCCGCGTGAACACAGCGACAGGCGCTCCGATTCAAAATGGCCGCCTGAAAGTTAAATTTTCATAATAAAAGTCCTGCTCCAATACCGTTTATCAGACACTGGTCATTCAGAGGCTTCTGGACCTGGATGACCTTCATATTTTCTCTTTACATCTTTTTTTAGGCTGATTTGATTGAGAAGTTTGGATGCTGAAATACATGGACTCTATACCACGGTATTTTTATACATATTTCAACGGATAATTCCGACATTATAATTTAAGATAACTAACGAAAAAATAGATAAATTATTTCATTTTCTTGTTTAGTGTAATTGTGTATGCAAAAACTGCTATCTAAGGCTTTATCTGATTAAAAAAGTACGTTGAAAATAAATTTTGTATACCTAGGAGTCAAGCACCATTTAGGTCAGTGAAAAAAGTACAGTGAGATGATCAGTTTCATATATTTTAATATGACATAAATGCAACATGATTATTTAATATTGTTTTTTTGTATTCCATTTCCATGGTAAAGACAATCATCAGTTTAAAAACTCATAAACAGGTAATATTTAAGAGAAGGCAATATGATGAACAATAATTTTAAAGACATTTCAAACAATAGCTCACTAAGTTACTGTGAATAAAGATTAAAGGGAATCTGCGTCAGCTCCCAAAAATGAAAATTCTGTCATCATTTACTCACACTCAAGTTGTTCCAAACCTTTGTGAATTTCTTCTGCTAGAAGAATCAGTTGACTGTAGCTATGGAAGTCAATGGTGGTTACCATCAACTGTTTAGTTACCCACATTCTTCAAAATATGTTCTTTTGTGTTCAGCAAAAAAATTAAATAAAAATTTCACTCAAGTTTGGAGAAACTTGATGGTGAGTAAATTATGACAGAATTATATCACACATTTTTGGGTGAAATATCCCTTTAATCGGAATCTAAGACGTTCTGAGCAAACAGGGACATCTAGTGGACAATAACTAAAGTAAGGGACTCAGGGAAAACAAAAATAATAATCACATAAAAACAGAATAATTTGAATGCATTGTGCTTTGTCTGTCAACATAAAATTATGACATTACATTATTAGTATTATTATCAAGACATAATTATTATTAATTAAATACATAATAATAAATTAACTTTGTATTCATAACTTCCAAGTTGTTCATGTTGCTATCACAACATGATCCAGTAGATGGCCTCATGTCTCCAGCTGTTTTATACAGTCTTTGATTCTTCATAAATTGGTCTCCTTCATGGCTGTCCTTCAAAGAGAGACATAGCTGGAACAGAATAACGCTTATTATACCAATTACTAATAATTAATTATAATGATTTAAATATTTAAATATTTTTTGGTGCAATTTCACAGAGAATATTTTAAATCCTTGGTTTGGCTAAGTTAAACTAACATAAAAGCACTTATTTAAAACTGGTATTGAAAGTACATATGGGCTTACTTGGTGTGCTTCTATGGGATCTCTGTGATGCACGGAGCCCCTCCTTACTCAGTCTGGGCACTGGGGGCCTTACTGGACCAGGACGTATCCCTGCATTCCATTGGGAGGTCTGGGAAAGTCTCTTTATGGAGTCCTTGTTAGCCGGAAGTGCTTGTAAATTGTGTGCTGCCCATTGCGGCCTGTTATGTTTTTGCTTTCCTGCTGCACTGAGATCCAAGGATAAAAACATCTGGGAAAATATACAAATAAAAGCCTTGTTTTCTCTTATATTTATAATAAAACACATATAAATTATAGCACATAATATAATGCATACAATATAATGTCTGTTTTCTTCCCCTAACACAGTGCCTTCTTCTGCCTCTGTGCAGCACATTTCCATGATATTCCACATATAGTCTGTTCAATATGCATGATGCCTCTTGGTTATGTAGTCTCTGGAGAATTATTTTCATGCTGCTGCTGATGATTTCTGTGCGAATCAACAGCACAGTCACATGACAGTTATATTGGCTTACCAAAGATTTGGCCTTGCGCAGCTTGTATGTTGAGAAAGATGGTGCTTTCGTTGTTTTTTCTTGTCTTGTTGTATTGGAAGTAGCACTTTTCCCCTTTTCCCCTCTGTAGCAATAAAGATGGCTTAGCATTTTCTACTGTAATTGTAATATTTTTCAACATGCAGACAGCGTGTTTACTGATCATTAAATAAACTACATTAGTACAGCATACCTGTTAGTGGGTCACATGTAGTTTTGTGATATTATATTACCTAAGGACTCAACTCAAATATAGAACATACTGTATAAATATGTATATATTTATTTAAAAGTTTGGGGTTGGTAAGACTTTATAATGTTTTTGAAATGCAACTTTTATGATCAATAATGCTGCAAAAATATTGTGTGAGATATTATTTAAATGTTAAAGAACTCTAATATGCTGATTTGATGCTCAAGAACACACATAGATACACAACAGTTTAAAAGTTTGGGATCAGTAAGATTTTTTTTAAGACATGCATACTTTTATTTAGCAAGAATGCATTAAATTGATCAAAAGTGACAGTGAAAACTTTTACATTGTAACAGAAACTTAAAAAAATGTGATGCTCCAGAAACATTTCTTCTTATTATTAATGTTCAAAACAGTTGTTTCCACAAAACTATTAAGCAGCACAACTTAATAGTCTTACTGATCCCAAACTTTTGAACTGTTGTGTATCTATGTGTGTGCGCAAAACAAAATAGGTTCACTCACATTATTCTTGCATGTTCAACTGGGTCAAGGTTATCCAAGTAGTTAAAGCGTATTATGTCGGTGGGATGCCTGTCTGAGTCTCTCCATGGAGGAAGACCTTTGGCTGATTTCACCAAGTCATTCCCATCTTTACTTTTCCCATGCAGACTTGAGAGGACAGACTTCTGTGACCCCACGATCTCACTGCCAATTACTTTCACCTCAGGAATAATAAAGTCTTCCTTCACAGGCATCTGGAATATGTGAGAGAACACAAAAATTACATTGATTCCAGTATTTCTCAATGGATATTTCTCTCTTTCTCCACATTATCTCTTACCTTGGGCCTGCTAATATGAAGCTCTTGCACTGTCTCTATGTAATGCCTCTTCCATACACCTTGTTCAAATGGTGTTGGAGCAAAAGTTATGCACCAGCCTAGTTTCAGACATTTAGGCATCCACAGTTGGTCAAGCTCCACCAGGTTTTTCCAATGCCAGCTCACCTGCGAATGAAAATATTAGTCATTAGATACACCAATGTCAAGCATAAAGTACAGTTAAAAAGTGTAGGCACAGTAAGATTTTGTTTAAAAGAAAATAATAAATTCATTAAGCAGGTATGCACTAAATTTATCAAAAGTGAGAACAAAGATATGTATAATGTTACAAAAAAATAAATGAATATATATTAAAAATAGACATTTTAATTTGTAATAATATTCCATTACAATACTCTTACAGTTTTAATGTATTTTTGGTTAAATAAATGCATCCTTGGAGAGCATTAGAGACTTCTTTCGGTAATACTTTAGTTTAGGGTCCAATTCTCACTATTAACTAGTTGCTTATTAAAATGCATATTACTAGGATATTGCCTGTTTATTAGTACTTATAAAGCACATATTAATGCTTTATTCTGCATGACCATATTCTAACATCCCTTAATCCTGCCCAATACCTAAACTACCTAAACAACTACCTTACAAACTATTAGGAGTTTATTAAAGGCAAAAGTCATAGTTAATAGTTAATAGTGAGGATTGGACCCTAAACTAAAGTGTGACCAAAAATCTGTGGTGTATAGACACAGTAAGTGTAGAATACATGTATAAAAGTTTTTCTTCTTCTTCATCGCATTAAAACATTCATACAAATGGACACAATACATACCTGAGCACATCTACAGAGACTTCGGGGGTCTAGGAATGAAAATATATAGAGGGATATGACCCTGGGAAGCACTGTAGTGAAGTCAAGGGCTTCCTCTGGTACCCAGCTGCACAAAGTCTGTCTGAGATGTTTCAGCTGGCTAACAGAACATCTGGAGAAAAAATCTTGTAGCACCTGTTTCCGCTGGCTATCTGTCCACTTCTCAAACTGGGGCAAAAAGCTGGATTGAGCATAGCTATATCAACTGAGCAAATATCAAAAACAAGAAAGTGTAAACATTGCATTTTTTACAGTAAGTGCATGCCTTACCCACTTTCCAAGCAGATTTCTTCTCTCTTCAAAAACCTGCAAACAAATGTTTACAGAATTTACCTTTGATATGAAATTGTGCAATAATATTATCACTATCAATGTTACCATAGCTAAACAAATAAAACCTGAAATCAACATATTTAAACATAATGGCAAGCAGAAGATCATATCATATCAATTTTTTAAGTCTTGCAGGTACATTAGCATTGGAGAGAGGATGATTTAGAGGTGTCCAGGTGCTCAATTTGGTCTGCATTTTTGAGCTGGGGGCTTGTGGCATCTTTCATTGAAGTTCAGACGTTTGAGATTCAGCTCCATCCAGTCATACCTGCGAAAACCTCAGTCATATTACCAAGCGTGCTTTATCAGAATAACATACCGATGGTAAGGCAAACAAATGTGCTGTGATTTTCACACCAGCAACAACAAAATGGTCTAGACGCACAGTACATTACAGTAGCAAAGAAACCAAACCAACCATTTGCAGCAATGTCAACCCAAAATACTCATGATAGCTATTATAACGAAACCATTAAAGGTTAACTGATTCGATATTGATGGTTTTGCGCTTCCTGCTCGGTAAGTTTACCAGTCTCCATAGCAATCTCACTCCCTCTCACTCTGTCCCGCCTCTTTCCAAACACTGGAGATGTCCGATTCGCAAACGAATCCTTGTCGCCGGATCTTTTAAACGAATCAGTTCACAAAACCGATACTCTAATATTCGAAGTAGCCTAAAGAATTTGACTGAAATTTTATATAATATATCCATTTAAACTGTACTATCTGTAATAGATTATCATGAAACCACCTTGCACTTTGGTGTTGTACTTTTTCTGTTATATTGTGGTGTCAATGTATTTATTTATACTTTTGACCAAATCTTATATTCATAGTGTAAGTTTACTAATCCCGATTTTATGATTTTGTTCACTGAAGTAGGCTGTATGTAAACAGTATTAGAGACTGAATAAGAAAGCTGTCAATACTTTAAAAATCTGTGAGATTAACAAAACATTTATTTGATATCTATTCTATACCCAAATGCACCTTTATTCTGATCTTTATGTTGTTATCTTCCCTGGCTGGCACCCTTTTATTTTCTTTTTTATATAATTGTTTCTCACTTTTTTGTATTGTATGCATAATGTTTAATTCTTGCATGTGTACAAAATGCATATATAGTTTACGACTTGATTGTATGAAAGCTTTAGCAACACAATATGTGTTTATGAGATGATTTTAGCACTTACTGAAATATACATACACTTAAGTATTTAACACTTAGTATTGTTTAATGTAAATGCCGATAAAATGTAGATTGGAAATTAATTGATGCTTTATTAGCAGAATCGTGACTGCAACAAACTATCTGAAACACATGAACGTACAATCAACATCATACATCCAAAAACGTAGATAAAACAACCCGTTTAGAACGTAAATATATCATGCAGCAAACACGCGATGACGTAATCACAAAATGACGTAAAAGAATCAATGACACGTTCTCAACCGATTCCTCGAAATGAACTGCTCGAAAGAACCGAATTGCGAAAATGAGTCGAACTTCCCACTACCAAACACACGCCCATCATTCCGGGCATCCACAAATCAGCAGCGCCAACTTCATTTCATTATAGTGCGGAGACGCTCCCCGCTCCCAACAGCTCCAGGCCAATGCAACGATGATATCCGTGGATAAACCCTTACCCAAGTCATTCTCTTTTTGCCTACTGATTGTGTTTTTTTCACGCTCAATCCAGTGACGTAAGTTCTAATATGCTTTTATATTGAGTGAGAGCAATATTCGTCGCGCGTCATCGACAAATGCGCGCGCCCGTACAAATCCGCAAAAAAACCTGCAGAAAGACACACAGGGCTCGTATTGTTAGAGACGCGGAGTGGGGTCTCTCACGTGAATGGTTTCATCTCGAGAGGTAAGAAGGACTTTTTATCATAATCAAAATTAATTGGGCGCAGGAACATGTTTTAGTAAAAATAAGAATAACACACCTTAAGAGTTACACCAGGCACCTATTTTGAAGGGAGTTTCATTATTATAGCGAAGCTGCTACACGACTCCCAATGGATAGGGTTAATGAAGAAATGGGCTAACGTTATCTGTTGGTCCCCTTTATTTTCATTTTTGATGAAAAAGCGACAGCAATAATGTTAAAAATGTTTGGTTTTTAACATTATAACCCAAGAAAAAATGGGGGAAAAATCATAAAATCATTTTATCACAGGACACTTGTGATAGTAAAATCCTGGTTCCTGGTAGCCTATAGCTGCTATATAAATAATTTTTGTGTGTGTGTGTTTGCAATGAGCGTTAAATGCGTTGAATTAAATTGTAATTAAATTAGTATACTAGTGTCAGGGACAAACCAGCATCAAGAACATCATTAAAATAATTCAGCATTGTGTGCGTGTGTGTGTGTGTGTGTGTGTGTGTGTGTGTGTGTGTGTGAACCGTTTAGACGCAGTGTCTATTCCTGTGAGCATCACTTTTTGTGTTGACAATTTTCTTTTGAAATCAACTATCTGCCCTTCTTTTATAACTACAAAATATATATCCTAAAACTACATCAACAATAGTTTAACAGTTTTAAAGTTATTACATTACAGTTAATTGTATAATATTACAATAATATTTGTATTTTTACATAAACTGTTTTTTATTAATTATTAATTGTTATTAATGGCTGCATTTAGAGTTGAAATAAATCATGTAACATAATTCAGTTCTGAACAGGTTAATACTGTGTGTGTTCTATTGTTCCTGAGGTTATAATGTTCTAATTTTATTTACACTGAACACATATTTACATTAAAGTTTCCCCTAGTTAAGCATTTTTTATTTGCTGCCACTATAATATGCAGTGCTTTTGATCATGCATTGTTCACTTTGAAACCATTTCCCACGCCTTGAGAGATCTCCAGAAGATTTTTCATGTTTGACTAAACTGTCACCGCATTCATGAATAATTCATGTTAGCCTGTTCATTTCAAATGTGACATTTGGTGCTCTTTCTCACACAGATGAAAATTTACCTCTGATAAATGCAACCTCAGTCATACCCACACCGGATTATGGACATGCACTGAAAAATTATGGATCATCTGTCACAGCAAAATGGAGAAGCATATCCGTGCGATTTCAGTCTCGTGTCAACCAACAGATAATTAACGAAGGAATGACGGAGCTCAGATTTTCTTGATATAATCGTCCTTTGCCAGTCCAAGCGCAGACGGACATGCCATGGATCTCCTTTGGGTTCTATACTCCATGCTGACTGTATGTATGGCCATCAATTTGGAAGCTCCTGGCAGCCATAGCATGTTTACCTGTGAGTCTATCACATTAAGGATGTGCCAGGGCCTCTCCTACAATACCACCTTCATGCCCAACCTTCTGAATCACTATGACCAGCAGACCGCTGCTCTCGCCATGGAGGTAAACCACATGACACAGGCTGACTGTTTAAACAATGTCATCAAAATGCACTACATTAAACTACACTCCTAGAAAACCCCTAATATTAGTACCTAAATGGTACATAACTGTACCTTTTGAAAGGGTACCGCCCCAGTGACAGCTTTTGTTCCTTTTTTTCTGAGAGTGTTGGACTAGTTCGAATCATCATGCTCTAATAACTGCGTGACCTCAACAGCAGTCATATAGATGTGGGTTGTGCTTATACATGTATGCATTCATATATAAATCTTTCCTGAATAGTGAGGAAAATAGTGAGAGCAGAGAAATAATTAAAAACTTTTTTGAGTCATGAAAATATGCAGGGAAACCCTTTGCCACGAATCTGTGAATAACTGTGAATGTTTAAGTGCATTGCTTCAAAATGTATGTTCTAACAGCGTCAAAGATTTGTCGTTTTCGATTTGACCCAGTTCTTTCTTGTGCCCTGCAGATAATTCAGATCACATTACAGAAACGTTTAAAGGGAAATTAATCTTTAATCTGTCCTACGGGGCTGTTTTCTGTGTCTTTTTTTCTGAAGTATCGTGCTGTTTTTGAAAAAAAAATCTAGTCCTCTTTTGCATGTGGCCGTGGCAAAATAAGCATCTTATAAGTATTTATATAACAAGGTTGCTTTACAACGGCTTGCTAGTGTAAGCCACAGTGGTTGATGTTATGGGCAGTTAATGGTGCTTGGACGTGTTGTTTATTTTGATTGCTCTATAATCTTTGTATCTGCAGACATAACGCCTGGATTGATTCAAGCCGATGGTTAATCCTCTTTACCGGGCCGCAGTGTTCAGCTGAGCCAAACTGACAACAGCTGCATTAGCTTGTTACAGTGGCCAGAGTATCTGTTGGACACACACAACGCTGTAAATGTTATCTAAAACCTGCTGTCCTCAGTCACAAGGTTTTAACTTATTCACTCCGGTCCTTCCTCAGTATAACCGAGGGATGGGACAGAAAATTAAAAAGAAGAAGAAAGATAAGGAAAAATGAATGGATGGAGTTGAGCTGAGGCAACCCATCTGCTCGTCCTCATGTACATTGTGTGGAAATGTGGAGTTACATAACCTTTTGCACTGTAGCCAGCGCAAACACACACAGAAAGCGATGATACTTTTTAAACCCACTGTTGCACAAAGGATTATATTCAAAAGAATTTGAATGATAATCACAATTCACATGTAACAATGTGCATAATATATTTTCCAAGCACTATGTACAAAAAAATATATATATACACTACCGTTCAAAAGTTTGGGGTCAGTGAGAATTTTATTTTTATTTTTTGGAGGAAAGAAATCAATACTTTTATTTATCAAGGACAGTAAAGACATTTATAATGTTACAAAAGATTCTATTTCAAACAAATGCTGTTCTTTTGAACTTCCTATTCATCAAAGAATCCTAAAAAAAAAAAAACTGTACAACTGACAGACCAACAACTGTTTCAATATTGATAATAATAATAAATGTTTCTTGAGCATCAAATCCTCATATTATACTGATTTGTGAAGGATCATTTGACACTGAAGACACTGACACTGGTGATGCTGAAAATTCAGCTTTGATCACAGGAATAAATTACACTTTACTATATATTCACACAGAAAACAGCTGATTTACACTGGAATAATATTTAATACTATAACTGATTTTTGTTGTATTTTTAATCAAATAAGCGCAGCCATGGTTAGCAGAAGAGAATACTTTTAAAAGTATTTAAAATCGTACCGACCCCAAACTTTTGAACGGTAGTGTATATTATTTATATTTTAAATATTTAAAAAATATTAAATATATTTTAATATTTTTCGTATTGTTATTTTATAATTCTTTAAGAAAATATTTTATTAGTTTGGATTGCAAGAATGAAAGGATTTTGTTCTTTAAATTACCATAAAATAACTTAATAGGTCAGAGCGTTTTTGGCGTGACTTTGAGGATGTAAAATTAACAGAAAAAGAAAACCCATTGTAAGATTGACATGTGATTTTCAATGAAGAGAATGTAAGGGATAGATCACCCAAAAATGAAAATGTTGTCATCATTTACTCAACCTGAAGTTGTTCCAAACCTGTATGAGTTGAGCTGCTGAACACAAAAAAAAAGATATTTTGAAAATTGTTGGTAACCAAACAG